CTGCATGTGAAGGTCCTTATGAATCTTCCAGTTTTTCCCACCATACATGGAAGATCCAATGTAAGCCAATCTCCACCTCCACCTCAAATTAGCTTTTCCCGGTAAAACGATTCCCAAAGGCCCAGCTCTCCCATGATGTCTAGTACTTATCATCCATTACACACAGGTAAAGGCTATTTACTCTTCTGCTCATCCCTTCTGTCTTTGCCATATCCCTCTGAACCTTTTCCATCACAGCTTTGCTTGGGTATTGCTCTAATTTGTCTTTGAGGAAGGATAAAGATGAAACATGATGTTGTAAGCAAGACACTGGAAGAACTTTTATGAGATATCATATCCTGAATTCACCACAGCTTTCCTGTGTGCCTGGAAGAGAAGCATTAATTTCAATGAAATCCAAGTTTCACTGGAGTAGCAGCAACCCCTCCTCACTAACTTTCCCTCAAGACCTTCTCCAGTGAATTTCCACATCTCTGAGGTTTCTTTCCTTTTCATCAGAACAGCCAGTGTAGCCTGCAGCTGCTACAGGCAAGGGAGCTGGCTCTTACCTAATCCAGTGGGACAGGATCTTTTCATAGATCTCACTGTGATAATTTCAAACAATTTAACTATTAGTAAATTCAACTTATAAATATGACCCGTGAGTAGGTAAGTATGTATAGAATTGTTTGCATTTGATACATTCCCTTGTTCCCAGCCCTTGAACTTCACTTTTCTTCTGAAGATCTGATCCTGCAAATACTCAAATGCAAGAATAATTTAGTATGTGATCAACCATGACAGCATCTATGGGACTATTCAAAGGACCCCTAGCTGACCTGCACATGGCTGGATTGTGTGTAGGTAACATAAGGAAATATATATATTTCACATACTCAGCTACTGATACAGCTTTTAATGTGCTCTAGGAACTGAAGAGGTAAGCTTATACGGTCTTATTCATTCTATCAAGAGACTGATAATTTCTCAGATGATCCACAAAGTACCAAATATGATCATCTGAATTAGCTAGCAGTTCAGGGATATTATTTTAAATTGGCCTAGATAGGCTTCAACCTGAAATACATTAACTGTAATCTGCCTGCAATAGGCTAGTAATAGGCCTGAAATCTCTGAGTTGGCATTTCATTGTTAATGAGCTAGACAGTGGATGTTTGGCATCCAGAAGTATCCTGGTGTCCCTAAATATCTAGTGATTTTTGTGTTGGCTCTGTTGGTTTTAAGATCATTAGGTACTGTAAACAACATACAAGCAAACACATTAACTACAATGTGCTAAGAAACAGTTCTAGCACACAGAGAAAATTACTGCCTTCAACGCTAGGAAAAAATATCTCTGGCATGAAACAGTGACTGCTGGTCATGGAATTTTACAAAGTGTTTTAGTATCTGTCCCTTTTTCAACCACAAGAAGACAGCAGACTTTCTAATGCATTTTAACAGTAATGCCATTTTTAGGAATATATTAAATAATTAACACTAGTGTACATGCTGTAATTTGCTAAATGCTTTTCAGCTGTACAGAGACAGAGTTCTTTCTAAAACAAAACTAAAAATTAGCACTCAAATGCTAATTAGCAGACTAGAAGACACATTCTTCTGACCTTCTGTCAGATAAAGCTTTCTTCACTGCTTCTGCTGCATCCCTCTTTCTGTGGCTTACAGTTCAACCATTTAGCTTACTTCTTGTTTTGTACAGAAAATGAATTTGTTTTCTATGTCATAGCATTTTTCTCTTTCTAGCACAAGCACATTGTATTTAAAAAAAGTTTATATAATACTCTATTTGCATTTTTAATATGTTTTGTTTATTTTAAAAACCAAGAGCTGATTCTGCACATTACTGATGCAGAAAGCATAGTAATGGAAAAACAAGCCCTTATTTGTCAGCTGAAATAAGACGTGCATTCAACCAAATTTTTCCTTTTAAATTAGAAATTAGAAAATTAAATGTACATGCTAAAATAAGCTAAAACAAAAAGAGGAGGTGATCAGTGCACTAATCTCCATTTAGTTGGATACCTGAACTTCAAATGATTATTGTGGGACCTGAATGTTTAGCTCTAGAAGAATACTTAGAAACTCAGGATTTTAGTATTAATTTAATTTCCAACTGAATCCTTGAGTTAGATAAGGGATAGAGAGCCAGTGATGAAGAGATATTTTTTTTAAAAATCACCAATGACCTTAAAAGCTGCTGAATTTCATAACAATCTTAGGTCAGACATGTAGTCTTGATTATTTATTTGGTAATTCACATGTAAATGTGTAATTTACACATGAAATTCACATGAATTCATAGTAATTCACATGAAATCCCTTGTCTTCAATAATATTTTAATGTTAATTTCATAGTTTGCGTTCTTGCAAAATGTTGGAACTTTTATCAAGTCATCTGCAAATGTTTGGCTTTTTGACAGGTTTGCACAAGTCCTCAATGAATATAATACACATTCACATAGATACAGGATACATATCCATGGAGATAATAGGTGGAAAATTCACTAACATGTGCACATGATTATATCAATCAATTTAAAAGATTTTGATTTAAGCAATTAAATAATACTAGTGTGTAGTGCAACAATCTCAGTGTAACAATTCTTGCATTTTTACACTAAATGTAACAGAAGACTGCAGCCCTGATAATAAAATGCTTGTTCTCATGAAGAGAGAAATAAAAAATTTTACTAGCTTGCTGATAGTTTGATTCAGAAGTTATGGGATGCATACAGAGTCTGATTTTCAAAACCTATGGGAAAGGCAGTGGAACAGGCAACTGAGATGAAGCTTCTGAGAGAGCAGTGCTTCCAGCTCTGCAGCAACCATGGTGGACTGAATCATCCTCCTTAGAGCATAGAAACAAAAAAACATAAAAAGATAATAAAGGAGGAAAGAGGAAGGGAAAGGGAAAGAGAAAAGCCAACCAGATAGCCCAAAGGTCAGCACTTGACTTGATTGAGCTCAGTACTGGTGGTTTTTGCATCAGGCCACTTCTCCTCTATTGGGTTTGTCCATTTTCCTCTTATGTAGCAAGGAAACATTTGGGCTTTCACTATGAAACAAAAGTTACTGGGGAAAGTGCACCTTAAAAAAAGGACCTTAAAAAAAAAATGTGGGAAAGACCATTCAGAAGTGGAGTCATTGCCAGGCAATGGCCAGAGACTAACCTAATTCTCTGGAATTCTTTACCTGTGTTTTGGATGTGATTCTGTTAAGGCAAAAAAAATTACTTGAACCATTCCTTTCATTGTAGAGTCTGAAAGGATTTTATCAAACAACAGATTTCTCTTGCCAACTGTATTTGGCAAAAAGCTTAAGTGAAATCAAATGGCTTTCTTGCAAGTTACAAATACATAGACTGAAGCAGAATAAATTTTAGTCTCAAACTCCTTTCTTAAAAGAAGTTTTGGGCTTACACTCTTTGGTCTTGTAACATATTAAGAACATTTGTAGATCCATTTTCATACAACTTTGTTTCTTGGATAAGAAGACACATTTAATTTTCATCCAACCCAATTCAGCAGCAGCTAGGGCAGAAAAAAATCCTATATTCCAGAGGGCTTCCTGGTTGCTTCAGCCTCATAATTTTTCCCCCAGCTGGCCTCCAAGCCCCTGAAATGCTGACAATGCTGGCTTTGCTCATGCCGAAAACTAGTGCAGGGTAGGGGATGCCTGATGGGTACATAGAATTAAAAACCCCTTTTCCCATAAAATGCTGTTTCTTCAAATAGTGTTGTTCCCATCTGTGTAACAGTTTTTATTCTGTATGTTTAAAAGTAAATCTGGAAAGACTTTGTAACTAGGCTTAAATACTTACTAATTAACTCTAACTAGGCTTATATATCCACCTCTAATTATTGCATGATTAAAATAATAATGGTAGGCTTTTTTGACTAATCAAAGAGAAATGAATGTTTAACTGAACATTTCAAAAATGTTTCATATCAATCAGCAAATAAAAAACACTTGAATTTTTATTACGGTATTTACTTGTGTTACTGAGAGCTCTTTAAGGCACCAATGAATATAACAAACACATTTATTTACAGCATATTTGCTCTCACTAGGATGGAAGTGTGCACAGGGAAACAGAAAATGTTCTCTGGGATGTCTTAATAAAAAAATATGTAAATAGTTGGGAAAACAAGAACAGCAGCATATCACAGCAGCAAACTTCTAAAAGAAACCTAAATTGTTGCTGGTGGGTTTTTCCCCTATTTAAATAGACAGGTGAAAATTCCCCTTTAGGACAGTGCATGCAGAGCATCCATGGTTTCTGGAAGAAAATTATTGTACAGGCTGGCTTCCAAAAATACCGTGGCTATAATACAAAATTAGATAGCAAGTATGTGAATAACAAAAGCTGAAATCCCTAAAAATAATTAGATTCATTTGATGATTGTATGAATGCAAGAAAAATATTATCCTTTTAATTTGTGCTCTGACCACTGAGGATGCAGTTTTATGAACAGCTTTCCAGTAGCACCTGGATCTATGCAGTGACTTCTCTGAGGTTGCTGGATAATTTCCCAAATTATATTTCAGGTGGATTAAAGCCCCAGCCCAGCTCACCAGTCACCCACAGTAAACAAGTGTTTATACAGGGAAAAACATAAGGGGAGAGAAAACAAATAAAGGCAAAAAGACAGATTTTCTACTGGCATAAAGTAGAGCTGCTATTTCCTTTCTTATTTTTCTTAGAGATGCTCAGATTCCTGTATAATTGCATTCTTTTTAATGCTGGAGAGCTAAAAAATGACAGCAAAGGAACCAGATTTGCAATAACAACATGAGCAGGTGTGGCATTGAAGTGTTCAGGCTCCTCAGCTAACAATCTCTCCAAAAAATGCAATTTAACTCTAGAAAGACATACCAGTTAATATAGCCTTATGGTAACCTGCTGTATGGTTCAGATAATCTATCTGAAATCTGATAGATAGGACCTCAATTTGTCACATCTTCCCCTACAGGTATGTGAAGAAAAAAACAGAACTCACCATTATTCACCAGGACATGGAGTGGACAATTCTTTGCTCTAAACTGCTGCACAAATTGCCGTATAGACTTCATGGAAGCCAAATCACAGTATGAAAACTCCACTGGGAGAGAAGAGGAGAAAAAAACAGAGTTAAGTCAGTTACAATGTTATAAAAACACATAGACATCAACAAGGACTCCTGTGATAATGTCACTAGTAGAGTAAAAGTTTTAAAAAGAAAACAGACTTTTCAAAATCCTGGGTGAAGCTGGTCTCAGGTTCTTTCTTTCTCCTTCTTCCCTTCATTTCTATTTTTAAACTACTGATTCTTCACAGTGCAAATATGGGAAAAGTGGCTGTCAGGAGGTGAAGGAGGGCATCCAATGAAGGAAATATGTCCCAGCCCTACTGTTCTTACTACTGCTACCATTTAAGAAGAGGAGCTCCAGTGTTGCAGCACTGAGATGATCAGGATATGGCAGCTGGAAATCAAATGGGGAGAGGATAAGGCACATCAGACACTGCAAGGTTTCCCTGTGCTCCTGATGCAAATATGCTGCCCTTTGTTTTTTCCCCAAGATTATCTGCTAAGTACCTGTGGTTGGAATAGTTTATAAACACTTTATTGCCAGTAGGAGAGTTGAGCAGCAGCACACCCTGAACACAGTAACACCACTGATCACTAAAAGCAAATAGAGCATCCTAAGTAATGCTGTGGCTCTGATGGTCATCCAGGGACATTTGGTATCCAGGTCACCTGGGAGCAAAAACCAGCCATGAAAATGCCATGTAAACGTGGGTAAGAGTCGTGCTGGCCCTTGGCTTTGGCAATGGCAGTGTGATTTGAGAGGAATAGAGTTCACACAAATATTGTGGGGGGCATCCTGCCTATGCTGCTGATGTCAGTCCAAGGACAGGGTGGCAGGGGGCTGCACCAACAAGATTGCTCAAGGGGCAGGGTGTCAGTCTCTAAATATATTTGGTACCAGTATGTCTTTATTGCTAAGAAAACACACATCAAACAGGTATCCGTCCTTTTGTCCAAAGCGTTACTCAGCCATTGACCTGCACTAAAATGCTAGAAAATTAATTAGTCAAAATAAAAAATATTACTTAAATCCTCCAGCAGCTTTAAAGCCATCAGGTCTTAAATTTCTCCTACTGCAGTTGTTCAGCTTTCAACTGGACTCTCACAGCACTGCCTCATTGATTGCCTTGCCTTGCCTTGCATGAAGCCATGACCAGAGTTATGAAGTGAAAAGAAGCACTGCCCCCTGCCAACAGCAGTAGCTGTCCCCACACAAACAATGCAAATTCTTTGGAAGCTCTGCAAAGGGAAAAAGAAAGAAAATTATGACCTTGTCCGACTGTTTTAACCTTTAAAAAAAGTATATTTTGCATGCCAGGCTTTTGGCTTGTTTCAGCATTAGCTATGCTTTAAGGAAGAGAATATGATGCTCTGCCACAGATATTAGTCTCTCTTCTGGTTTCCTACTTGTCACAGTGGAAGCCCAAGTCAGCCAATTGTTGTCAACTCCACCCTGCCAAGACACTGGGGCTCTGAGGTGGATTTGCTTGAACCTCCTCTGTAAAGTGACTTTTCCAAGGAAGACCAAAAGGTGTTTCAAACTGAGAAAGTCAAACAATACCGAGCAACATTCCGTGGCTAGGTCCATCAGAGAGAAAGGCAAAGGCTGTACAAACCATCTCCCCTAGTTCACTGTGTCCTTGCAGGGTGAGCCCTTACTGTCCTGTTTCGTTTCAGAGAGCTCCCAGATTTCCCAAGCTGTGGCAACCTCTGCACAGATGCTGTCTGCGGGATGGTTTTGGCCACCACATCAAAGGACTGGGGTTTCAGAGGCTCGCCATGTTTCCCCCCTCCCTGCTGCCCTCCCTCCTCCTGGCCCCAGGGCTGCTGCTCTGTGCTCCACAGGAAGGAGCAGCCACCCCCTGCCTTGCACATGGGTTCCCCCACCTCCTCCTATGAAAGAATCAGCCTTTGAAAGAAGGGGAAATTAAAGAGATACAGTTCTTCAAAAATGCCTTTCTGATAGGAGGATTAAACTATTGGATAAATAGACTCCAGTGCAGGCAGTAATACAAGACCTTTCCTCTTACTCTCTTCCCTGGTCCATCAGAGATGTTCATCCTCTCCCTACCAAGGCTCTGAGCTATAATGCCTCTTTACAGCATGTCACTACAGTAAAAGATTAGGAAGGCCTGCAGGCACAACAACGAGATAAATAAAAAAAGATATTCACAACTGTTATTTAATTTCTTTCCAGGAGAACAGTTTCTTTAGTTCCCTTAATATGAAGCTCCAATAATCCTTATCTATTCGGAACCTAGACAGTATTAGTCCTCTGAAATTGTTGTAGTAATGTATATAAATTATTCAGTGGCCATTTTCACTAAACAAACAAACAAGCAAGAATTCATAGATTCCACATATAAGGTAGTGTAAATACATTTTTTTTCAAAGTGGCTCTAAAGTAATACCATTTCAACAACACTGTCCCACAAATAGAAGTGGACAATTTCTTGATCTCTCAGCAGACCTTTAGGCTCTCAGCAATTTTCTTTAATTTCACTGAGGCCCTGCACCTGGAGATGGTAAGGAAATGTAGAAGTTATTAACTTCCATCAGTGTTGCTCAGGCCATTCCTCCTGTGGCCTAGCTGCTGTACAAAACCACATGAATGGCACTGTAATTGCTCAGATATCCAAAACCTGGTCATAATAAATTATTAATAATTAGTGCAACAATGAGTGGAGTGAAGACCTAGATGAAGATTTATGCTGACTCTGCTGTTGTTCTACTTCATTAGGCAGCTCATCAAGGAAAGCATGAACTTCTTAGGAGGCAGTCACACTGCCAATGGAGGAGTCCCTTTCAATACAAAGATATTTATCCTACAGGAGGCATTAGGCCTTCATTAGGTGTGGTATCTTGTGGCACAGTGCAGGCTCCAGCCACTTCTCCATCACCAATATGGACTCTGACAACATTATTGACTCTATTGCCACTACATATGCAAGAAAAGCAGACCTCTGAGGACGTCCACTAAGCTAAATTTCAATCTCTTTCCTTATCTGGCCTTGCATTGCCAACAAGAATGGTGGTTAGACAATGTGTGCCAAGAGAGTGCTTTTTAGCCTGACCAATGTAGTCTGATCCATCCTGATAATTAACTTTTTGCTGCAGCTGTCTGATCTCCCCTCCCTTAATTTTCCAGTTCTGAACAACAAATGCTGTCCTTCATTATGACTGTGCAATGCCCAGACTAATGGCACACTAGGCCAAGGCTATCATTAGTAAACTTATTTACTTGCTTCCTTGGGAAGCACGTCATCATATTCTGCATTTGTAAAGCACGTGCCATCAAAAGATCAGAACATGCTTCAGAAAGGAAAACAAACAAACAAACCAGCCCCCAAACTCTTCTCTCTGCTCACAGGGCCAGAGTCCTTGTTGGTGCTGATTCTTTGCCAGGGAGGTGGATCCGCTGGCGCGGCACCGCGCGGACCGAGGCGCCGTTCCCCTCGAGAAACTGTGCCAAAACGTGGCTCTTAGCCGTGTGCTGACTCACAGGCAGGGCTTTGAGCAGAAACTCAAGAGTTTCTTCTCTGTCCCATGGTGATTTTTTTCTATCAGTGTACTGGAGAATTACAAATTGAGAAGCTTAGAACAATGGTAGATTTTAGACTGTTGTGAAGTGTGCGCAAATATACTAAGCACAACAATTTTTTCGATGCCTTCGTAAATGAAGACCAGGGTTTTAATAATGTGAGCAAATGACCAAACTGGATTGTGAACTAGGAATTTAACTAGAATTACTTCAGGGAAGCAAGAATGGCAACGTTTTTCCATGTAGGATAGGTATGAGCAAAAAGAAGATGTGCATTAACAGTGAGAAAACTGAAACACACCAGAATTCTTCTCTTTTACCAGAATAGCGGCCTTTCTGCTTTAGAGTTTAATAATCTAATAAGTTTTTAAAACTACCTAGTTCTTTTCATTTTCTGTATGCTATTAAGTACAAAAATAGAGTAGAAGATACAAACAGAATAAGCTACATACAGAATATCTGCAGCTAATGCTACTGAAATACTCAAATTTCTAACTCTACCCCATTTTATCTCTCCTTTTCCTGTATTACTTGCTTTTAGGTACTTCTGTAGTAACAGACATGCCCATATTTCTTTCTTTACATATGGTGGATGTGTCCCATGTTCTTACCTAAATATTTTTTCCCATGAAAGTAAGTACATCCATAATTGTCAGACACTGGGTAAAATTTTCACTCTTAAAAATATTTTCTATTCTTTTATTGTAATTTGATGACTCAGTTGTCAGAAAGTTATTAGCAAATGAAATAAAGAAGGAGCAAAATTTCCCAAAAAGACAGCCAGAATTACTTATGCTATTAACCACATATGAATAGATATATATATATGATGGTGCTACAATTGCTGCTTTCCTTAATTTATTTCTTTCAAACATGTATCTGCCTGGTGCAGCAACTTTTCAGCCACAGGGAAATCAGCACAATGTTTTCTGTCTGTACCTCACAAGGCCCATAGAGACCCCACAAAGCCACGCTGGCTGCCACGTGTGACACTGCAAAGCACATGTGCAGTGTTGTTCCTGCATTTTACTCCCCTTGCTTGCTTGGTCATGGTAACTAAAAGGAGAGAGCCTGAATGAGTGGCATCTCCTGGAGAGCTTTTGACGCCTTGAACTCCATGAAATCCAGGAGGAGGCCCAGCCTTAGGAGAGCCTGACACAGCCCCTGAGTGCTCTCACACCCCTGAGCTTCGCCTTCAGGGTCAACTTCCCCATTTCTATCTTCCTGCTTCTTCACACTATTACCACACCTTTCTTCACATCCAGTGTTCCCTCCTTTGCTTTCCACACCAGCACAGCTGACTGTGACTGCACATTTCCTCTGTGTCTGTATCACAGGGCATAAAAAGCATAAAATGGGAATTTCAGTCTGGTGTGGAAGGAAAATTCAGAAATAAATAAGAATGGACAGGTATTTCAGTGAATGACTGTAACTGCTGAGATGTTTACTGATCAGCTGAACAGAGGAAAATGCAATGTTATGATTCCTTCAA